ACCCGGTCCAACTTTTTTTTTTTATGTGGGGGGTGCACACCCAGGTGTGGGATCCGGGTGTGCACCAATCATGGTCCTAATAACAAATTGAATCAATGATAAGCAGCATCAGACGGTGAAAGGATTAAATTTGAAAGATCTATGCACCTGGAAGACCAATTATATAATGCAAAGTGGTACTTTCTAAAAGACACGAAGCATGGATATTGGTTTAACTTTTCTCCCACACTCCTTTTCTTGTAGCCCTTCACCATTGGAAGCTATCTTAAAATTAACACCATGAGCAACATCATTAATGCCCCCTTCTTCAACTACTTCACCACCATCAGCACAAATAGGTGCATCTGCAAGAAGTAAATAAACAAAAGAAAGAAAGCATAAAATCAGCTAAAAGTCCATAGAAAGAAGAGATAAAAGAGATTAAGTATTAGAATCACTCTGGTAATGTGAATTCCAAATGGTAATGTATTAAGTTTGGTTTATAATATATTAAATGCATATAAGATAAGAATGAATCAATTTAGGCAATGACGCTCTACTTGCACTGCTTATGGTTAAGGAATGAATTATTGGAACTCAGAATTGAATTATTACATCTTCTGGTGTGCAACTGGATTTCGACTTGGTAATGAACCTGCACATCCCATGTGAACATGCAAATATCAGATAAAAGTAGAAATTGAACTTAGAAAAATTATTCAGAATGAAACCATATGCAATATAAGATAAAAGAAACTACAAAGCATGTTATGTTATTATGGTTGCAGGTGAATCATAATATTAATTTTGAAGGTCAATTTAAGATCGAAATACAGATACAGATAGAAAATGAACACAGCGAAATCAATACTCACAACTTGGAGTTTATGACACCAAATCCTGTGCAAAAATTGGCATTTTGCAATACTGATAGAAAATGATACCACTTAGGAGCACTTGGGGTTCATCGGAGACAGGAGCCTGGGACTTTTCTTGCCAATTGCCAACCGATTGTGCCAAAATTGGCATTTTGCAATACTGAAATTGAAATCCTGCATGTTTTTCATTTCAATGATTTTACTTCCAACTCAGACAGAAAAGAAAAAAGTAAATTTAAATATTCTAATTACTGATTATCAAAAATTAAACAACCCAATACATTTATTAGAACCAACTACCAAATTCTCAAAAATCTGAACAAAAATAAACATACCCAGAAGGAACCCATCTAAGAAAATAAGAAATCCCTAAGACCAGCCACCAAAAATCCAAATAGAAACAAAACATTTCAGAAAATCTGCAGTAGATTTTGGAATTACGAAAATGGAACAAGAAATATAAAAAAGGAGTTAAAGAGTTAAAATCATAATAATTCAAACATAGATAAAAGAGATTTTGGCGAGAATCTCAAATGAAATTGGGGACTCAACTGGATCTCTTCCATCCAGAAGGGCTTCAGAATCAGAATAACTGGACTGGACTGGAGGAGAAAAGGAGAAAGAAGGGTTTTACTGGCACGTGCTATTCGGGGCCACACGTGACTTACTTGGACATGTCAGCTACGTATGTTGCCGCTCATCCTGGCCGTCCGTTAGAGTCGCTGCCATGGAAATTTAAGTTGATGATTTCTTACTCTGGATCCCTTCAATTCAACAGAAATTGTTTCCTTCCATCTAGATTGCAAATGGTAGAAAAGGAATTGGAAAACAGATAAAATAAATAAATAAATAAAATCAACATTCTTAAAATTAGAAATTGAATACTTAATCAATCAACACCTTATCCCTCAATCCAACCAAAAGCTAGAATATTTCAAGAAAGGTTGAAGTAGGTTCTTATGATCCCACTCCACTGATTCCCACCATTCTTTTGACTCTTCATCTATCTTGATTTCTCTGAGATGAGGAGGAGGAGATGGTTGGCCATTATCAAGCAGAGGAAGCTGCACAGGGATCCTCTTTAACTCCCGACAATCCCATATTTTAATTTCTTCAATAGAATCACAAACCATAACTCCTTTGACACTGCAGATGCTCTTCAATTGGGGTAAATAAATCAACAACAATATCCTTAACTTGGGAAAAGTGAGTTTATCCAATGATGCATCTGAATCTGATGATGCTATTATCTCCTCCATTTGTTCGCACCCATGGACATAAATCTCCTCTAAGTTTTGGAAGGCCTGCAGCAGCTCAAGTGGAAGCAACTTCCTCATTCCTGGACAATACGAAATCTGAAGCATTTTAAGATTGGAAAAGACGTGCGGTGGTGTTGCTACTCCTTCCACTCTCACAAGTACACTCAATTTAGGCAATTCCACAAGACGCAGCTCTTCAAGCTTATCCAGTACTGGATAGGAGGATGAGTCCAACTCAACTACGCACTCCATATCTTCACAATAATGAAAATAACAAATCCTCAACTCGGTTGCCTTTTCTAACAAAGCTGCTTTATTTAAGCCACTTCTCATGTTTCTACAGCGAATTATCTCCAGCCTCTGAAGGTTATTTGGAAGCACTATACATTCTTCTCCTAAGTCACAATAATTAATACTAACCACAGATTCCCTTTGAGCAGTCGACCACACACTGAGTCTTACTCCTACTTCAATATGGTAATCAGTAAGAATTTGGAAATCTTGAGACTTGACAAAATAATTGTAGCTTTGTATGTCATTGAATATACCTTCAAAGGTCTCCAACTTGCTCATTCTCGCAACCTCTTCTCCTTCTATCTTCAACATTTCTAAAAACAAGTACTGGAGATTGGAAAGGTTTGATAACATTCCCATTGGAATCTCTTCTACATAGTCACAATCCTTTAAATCAAGATATTCCAGACTAATCAATTTCTCCATGACTTGAGGGACCACCTCAATCCTAGAACCCCTCAGATCCACCTTCTTTATTGCCCTCAGCTTTGCTAAAGAAGGCAAATGCCTTAACCTCTTACACCAACTTAACCTCATGGAAGAGAGCTTCTCCAAGTTTGAGATGGAATTAGGTAAAGCTTCAATACCAGTTTCAGAAAGATCAAGAACCTTCAGTTCAGGCATACCTTCAAAGAAGGATTCTGGGATCTCGGACAAATTATCATTATTTGACAATATCAAAGTTGAAAGAGTTGGACACTTTGGGCACAATCCAAGGGGAATTTTTGATATGTTATTCTTCATTAGAGACACCTTCTTAAGATCATTTCCCCACCCACGCTCATCTGGTACCTCTGTCAATTTCATACCAGCTTTTACCATATATCCAAATTCAGGACCAATGCTTTTGATAGCCATGTCTCTCATTACATCATGCATCTTGAAAACATCAACATCATACCAATCAACAGTTTTCTCTAATAAGCACTTCTTTACTAGCCTATTTAAAAAGGCATGGCCCCTATCATAAGCTGCTTTTCTACTAGGCAACACATCAATTAGTCCTTCATCAATCCACCCTTCTACCAACCCTTCTCTCCCAAATGGATAATCTTCAGGAAACAAGGAGCAATAAAGAAAACAGCTTTGGATTTCAAAATTATTCAAACGATCATAACTAAACCTTAACCTCTTAAATATCTCTTGATCTGAACCAGTCACACTCTTTACCCCTTCTCGTAGTTCAGTTAAGGCATTCTTCCACACATGAACATCATCATCTCCCTTCATACTCTCTGCTATCACAACAATGGCCAGCGGTAGGCCACCACACTCCTCCACGATGAGCTTCAAGATTCCTTCTAAATTTGGAACTTGTAGAATATGATGCCCAACTTTATCTAAGAATAAGTTGAGAGACTCCTGAAAAGAAAGAGGTTCCACTTTGACTATTTCACAACCCATTTTTTGGCACACATCAATGGATCTACTAGTGATGACTATTTTGCTTCCATTCTGAATTGTTGGCTCTAGAATTCCCACTTCAATCAGAGAAAACACTTCCCAAACATCATCTAGGATAAGCACGTATCTTCCTACTCCTTCCATAATGCTTATCAAAGTAGCTGCCCGCCTCACTTCATCCTCACCTTCTGGGAGTGTCGATCTATCGTTCATAGCGCGAGCAATATTTTCTTGTAATTTGATAACATTGAGTGGGTAGGACACAGTGACCCAAATCACCCTATCAAAATTAGTCACTCTTAACAATTCATTATTAATATGCTTCATGATGGTAGTCTTCCCAACCCCACCAACCCCGCAAACTCCAATCTTTCTGACCTCATTGCCCATCAAGTATCCCCAAATTTTTTCTTTTGCAGAATCTTCACCCACTACATTCTCAGTTGGCAATATGATTCCTCGTGGAGGTCTGTCAACTGTGAGACCATCAGGAAAACTACCTTGTTCATAGATTCTCTTCACCACCTCAATTTTCTTCCGAACAAGTTTCCCAAGATGGCCCTTTGAGTACCACTTAACTCTTTGAATCTTTTCTTGAATGGCTTGCACTTCATTATTGGTTTCTTGTACAAGTCTAAGCCAGGCTTGCACTTCATGTTTTACTTCTTTTTCCCTACCAGCCTCAGACTGTATGCTTAAATTTATATCTTCTTTTCGAGAGATTAGAACTTGCAATTCTCTTCTCAAATCACTCACAACTTCATCAAAATTTAAGTGATAATCTAGATAGGTGCAAGCTGACCTCCCCAAACACTTTACCAGTTCCATGAAAGGCTCTACCAGAAGCTCCATTGAAGAAGAACCTATAAAATGAAACACCATGTGTATTAGAATGTATACAACAACTTCAAAAACAACGCAAGATATATGAATAACTAATGGTTAATAGGATGAAAAAGTGAGACTAGAAAGGATTGGGAAAATTGTCACTAGCTCTTTTCATCACTCAGCTTGTCACTTTAATTAATTTACATTCAGTTATTTGTTTGTCATGTATACATTTGAGTTTTCTTCTTCATCAGTATACTATCTAAATTAAAAAAACTCTTAAATAGGGGAAAATACTTGAATTAATTTGTAGAAAGTTACCTGATTAAGAAGATGATCTTGAAGGAAGATGTAGTTGAGTAACTTGATTAGAACTTCCTCTTCTTTCTAGAAGTTTGATTACAGCTGAAAATAAAAAAGAAGATAATTTACACCAAAAATGAGTAAATAAATTGATAAAGTAATGTAGTTGATTGGACATAATTGGGTTAATAAATTAATACAATGATTTTTATTTTTTTTATAGAATATTGACCATCGCACTCATCAATTTGGAAGCTTTTACAAGAAAAAAAAAAAAGAAGAAGGAAATATAACATGGGCAAGGAAAATATGGCAAATATTGTTGTCTACATTCAAAGACCCAAATAAAATAAGTATAGATAACTTACATTACAAGTTTGGAATTCCTAAACTTGTCAAAAAAAAGGTTGTAAAGGGTTGGAATAATACCTTTGTACTCCCTTAATAATTTTTTTTGTTAACAAAAAAATGTTAAGATCAACTTACAAGTTGTTGGGATTATGTTTTGAAATTTCATGAAGAATTGGAGGTCTTGTGAGATTTGGTTACCAAATTAGATTCCAACTTGAATATCAATGTCTATATGAGAATTATTTTAGGTAATTTCAAATTGATATGAGATTTTGCTCTACTCCTAACCAAACTCTAATATTTGCAATATATTATAAATGTATTTTTAACAAAATCAAATGTGTAGTGTGGTTTGAACCAACCCTTATGAGGTGATGACTAAGAGCCCATCCACTCTCGTTGAGTATTGAAAAGGTGAGATTCCTTCATTGAGAAAGGCTTTTGAGCAATGGGTTGATGAAAGCATAAAAATGTATATTTAAACTATTCTCAACAATTGATATCTGTGAAGTTATAGACTTAATAGTAGCATTTTTTTCTAAATAATTTTATAATTGTGGATTCTATTAATTGTGTAACTTTTGTTACTTGAAGGTTCAATGATTAAATGAGAAAAATTGAAAAATATATGTCTTAAGTGCAAACAAGGTGTTAGAACCTATCTTTAGGCTCCAATCCTTGATCATCAAAATGCACAGAGGGTCAAGCACAAAAGAGGTGTCACATCCTATCTCTAGGTTTCAACCCTTGATTGCTAAAATTGCACAAGGGCCAGACACAAGAGAGGTGTCGCACCCTTCCTCCATGTTTCAATTGGAGTGCACACCAAAGAAAAAAAAAAAATTCTCTCAAAGGTTGCTAATCCCTGCTACCAAATAGTCATACTTTAATCCTAATATAAATAGGGATCTTAGGAACTAAGATTAAGATTCTTTTCCCTTCTTTTCATCATTCTTTTTTAAAACTAAAGGAAGAGAAAATCATATCTAGACATAACTAAATTTTTAACATGATTATAGAAGATTTTGACTATTGAGTTTGACTGATGACTTTATTTTGATTTTTTAAGGGATTTTATTGTTTAATTTTGTTCTTGAGATAGTCAATTATTTTGAGATTTGAAAGCTTTCAAAACGATTATGTTTTGATTAATTATTTCTATAGATTTAATCGGAAGAAAAACACTTTTTAATTTTTACTAAGACGATTTTCTTGTAAAAACACTTCTCTCTTTTTTTTTAGCTCCTATTTTCATGAACTAACCAATGCTATTTATTAAATTTTGCTGCCATTAAAACTTAAAATGCATTAAGGCCTAAAGATTGAAAAATGAGTGTAAAGGTAACGAAATTTTATTGTTGTTTGGGTAACTCTTTATTCAACAATTAATTAATTAGTCTTTTCTTTAAAATTAAATTTCAAGATTAACCCATCTTAAAATCCTACTTAAATCTAATTTGAATCTTATAGTAAAATACTCTTTTAATTGTACTATTTATTTGAGATTCAAAATTCCTTTTAGCAAATTGTTTATTTAAATTAACAATTAATTTCATTATAACATGCTTTTCAATTTCAATTTTTTCTTCACTACATTCAATGTTAAACTGCTATCTCATCAAATATATTTTTAATTCTAATTTCAAATTGTTATCTAACCAAATCTAAAATCAATCTCCAATGGTGATTATCCTTTTTTATTATCAAATTTTTAATTTAAATTCCCAATTAATCTCATTATAATATCCTTTTCAATTTCAATTTTTTTCTCCTAAATTGAATTTCAAATTGTTATCCCACCAAATTTATTTTCAATATTAATTTCAAATTGTTATCTTACTTCATCTAAATTCAATCTCCAGTAATGATTATCTTTTACTTATTTTTATTCTCAATATTAAATTTTCCTCCAACAACTACATGGGTAAGTATCAAAAAAATATATAATAAAAAATTATTTGAATTTAAGAATAAATTCCCGTGTATATTGTAGTTTAATTGTACTCCTATTTTTTTAATTAAATGAATTAACATAACTTAAAAAAGAAAACTGAGAAAAAAATAAAAATAAATTATGCACAATTAAATGTTCATGGTCTTAATTCAAAAACAATTTCCCTATTCGCAAAATTACTACTCAACTAAAATGATATTAGCATAATTTTTCTTCTTAAGTAAGAATGCTCTAATTGTTCAAAACTTCAAAGAACAAAAAAATGAAGAAAATTAATTATTATAAATTTATAACAATATCCCAGGCATGAACACTAATTAAGTAGTATACATTTAATAAATGTTCATGGTCTTAATTCAAAAACAATTTCCCTATTTGCAAAATTACTACTCAACTAAAATGATATTAGCATAATTTTTCTTCTTAAGTAAGAATGCTCTAATTGTTCAAAACTTTAAAGAACAAAAAATGAACAAAATTAATGATTATAAATTTGTGACAATATCCCAGGATGAACACTAATTAAGTAATATACATTTAATAAAGTATCACACCTGGTTTTTACTATTGTTTATAAGATTAAGAATGAAGAACCAGATGCCATTATTAATTGCAGATCTTTTGGTCTTGAAACAGCTGAGACCAAGAGGAGAAAAACATATAAATCATAAAATAGATGAAAATAGAAAAATATATAAAAAGAGACAAGCTCACTTTATTTAACAAAAACGAACTTTTAAAAAATAGTTAAGATGAGATGGTAGTTTAGGGTTTAGACCCAACAAGTTGGCCCAACAATCCCTTGTTTGGAGTATAGGCTAGGTTCTAGTTTAAGGCCCATGTTAATGAAGATGGGCTTTTATTTTTATAATAAGTAATAATTAAGTTTAAGTTTAAGTTTAATAAAGATAGGAAATAAATACGAACCCTAAAGAAATTGTAGGGGGTTAAAATCATTATACTCGGTTTTGGTATTATGAAAGCACTCTCTTTGTGCATGTTATTTCTCTCCTTCGGGTTTTCCACGTAAATCATATGTTCGTCTTCAATTGACAACTTTTTTTTTTTTTTTTTACCTTTACAATAAGTAAAATAACTTATTAATGTATGAATATGAGCAATAGAAATGCATATGAACAAGTCATAATAACACTAATTTTTAGAAAGTCCTTTTCCACGAAGCAAGTAAGGATTAGCCTATGAGATTTAGTTTTGCATCTACACCTTGAAGTGAACGTAATTACAACATAAAAAAAGAAAGAAATTATAGCAACGATGTGTACCTTTAGGTTTTGCCTGTTTCTAATGACCTTTTATATCCTTCCTCTATTGAATGTATTAATTGCTCACTTTGTTGATGAAAAGATGTTGATATGAAATTGTGAATGTATTTATAGATGAAGAAAAGATGTCTTACTCCTGGACAAAGAAACGAATAGTAGAATAACCGAAGGCAAAAGCAAATTAACAAGTGGAATTAATTTCCTCAACTTTTTGGCAGAAGAGTAAAGCCACATATGATGAAGAAAGAATTTTAAAACGGGCAAGAAGACGCAAAGAATTTGTCAAAAAGGGTGTTCCGGCCGGTAGTATCATTCTTTTATAATAAAGAGGA